AAAAAAATGTCGCTAGAAAAAACAGCTTCAAGTTCGCTGTTGGCTGGGTGAGAATTTCGCGTTAACTGGCTTAACACACACATTATAGGTACATTTGGGAAACATGCAGCATGAGAAAGGCGCATGCGTGCGGTTTGGCAAAGGGATGCAGTTGGCGAAAGACCGTATATTTGACTATACCGCGTACGTTTCGACTTCGCAAAGGGCACGTGTGTTGACGCCTTTTTATCTGACGGCAGTCTACGATGACGACCTCTACTGCGTGCAAGATATATACACCGTACAGCAACCCGTGAACAATTTATGTTACGTCAAGATTGACGCCAATCACTCGCGCAATCAGCAACAATTACGTATGCCAGGCAAACTAACATAGTTTATCGGTCAAGTACACTCTTACGAAGTATTGACGATGCCCAACAGTTCAGCTGAAAATTAACTTTAAATGAATCTCTCGATCCCAATAATTTCCTTATCAAGAATTCCTTACAAGAATTGGGCTATACAATTATTACGTAACGCTTTTCGGTATTATCAAAGCTTGCCCATTTATTCATAGACAACCTAATTTGTCTATGACGGTTTCACTTGACGACGGCCCTAAAACACATCACAAAACAGCTGGTAGGCTCAATTTATCACTTTCATCGACCAGTGACTGCGGTCAAAAGTAGAACGTAGCTCTCAACTATTCAGCACACAGGCTTTCATTAGATAGAGCCTGTATAGAATAATAGCAATTACAGTCACAATTACATTTTAAGGCACGCTTGATTGATCGGAAAACACAAGAAAAAATTTGAATAATGAGACGGTCGCAGGTGCTATACATGGGAAGTTCTCATAACCGACGCATTTCAGAGCTCATGCAAATATGCTCGAACTCAGGCTCCCGCATCGAGGCAAGACTTTCCTTATGGAAAATGTCACGATTAATCATGGCAACTGCTTTCACGGTATCTAAACGAACTTTAACCCAATGAGTTTCGACACTATACCCGCATGAACGCCTTGATCTTCACATTTTTTTTTTCTTCACATCAATATGTCAGGTGTCATTGAAACAAGCACACGCCCTGTGACAAACCGTCAGGAAAACATCAAACGAACATCGTTAGGACACACAACTACAGTAATCATACCTACATGTCCTAGGGGAAAAGTTGCTTAGTTCGTTGCCCAATTGAGGGCACGTACTAAACAGTTAGGTTGTATAGAAGAGGCCATTGAGCATTAACGTCACATATGTGTCATCAGGAAACCGAGTAGGAAAAGCGTGAGTAGATCTATTAACTCCCGCCGGAGATGGGTGATCGACTTTATCTGGCCTTCCTCACGCAGCCCATACTAAGGATTAGATGCTCATATGATTTTGTACGATCGAAGTCTCTTCCGTAGGCAGAGTGAATAATCGCTTGGTTCAAGGGTTAGTCGAACAGCGCCACGAAGTGGTGGATCAGCTTTCGAGCTTTAGTGAGCACAGCGAATCTTATTATAAAATAATTCAACTTTTAATTAAAGTTCGAAACACGTAACTAACCAACTTGTTACTTTCTGTGAAAGTAACAAAGAAAAACAAGCGTATGAAAGCCATCAGCTTTCCAATGAACAACAAGCTACTCCCGAACTATATTTTTATTTGCTTGCCACATACTATAAAAATCTATTTATCTCATATATACATAGAGTATAATTGAACTGACCTCGATGGCTTAAACAAATCAAATCAAAGCGCCTTACCCACAGAATTTCTCACCACAACCAGCAGAGCTTCGTAATCGTGCGTTTTATCACGCTATGCACCATATATTTCTTATTATATCATTATAACATTTAATTTACTAGCCGAGGGGATACCTAGGTTCGATAGTAACAAGTGGAAAAACGGTCTCCCACACAATAAACCGTACTCAATATTATATACGAGTTAGGTTCGTGGACCCGCTCAACGACATGTTTATTCAATCGTACTTGTCGTGCAGTGTACGTCGATGGCGGGGTTTGAACCTACTACTTAGCCATCTCGAAGAGTGTAGTGGCTGCGGATGCACTGGCAATTAATACTATTACAGACGGATATTGCCTACAAGACCAACAATCTACTAGTTGTACGAAAAGCGTAATGTCTTTCTTTTTGGCTGAGTCGGTAGATTTAGAGCAAGCCCATATTTTTGCATGCCTTTCGGAACGTGCTTGGGTGCTAACACACCTTTACGCCCCTAACACACACTCTACAACAATAGTTGTCACACATTTTCTAAACTTCGCGCGAATCGATGCCCTTTGGTTTTATTATAACGTGACTGGCTACGAACACTTAAATGTGAGATTATTTCTGCTTATACCGTTTCGCTAATAACGTGTACGAAGATATTTGTACATTTAGGTTATTTCAGCGCTCGTTGACTCATTTGTCACAAGCAGCAGCACCTGTATCTAGCTACGCAGTGTTCATTCGACGTCGCTAAACGCTGCATCTTCGTTGATGTTCCACTGCCTACCTGATATATCTAACGACTCGTTCGAATACGTCTAGCAAATGAGTAAAGCTTTAGAGCTCTCTATTTCTCTGTATAACGTTATGCTTGTAACAGGGAATTGAACGATCGAAAGCAGCCTGAGCGAATTTTCGTTTTGCTGCTGACTCAGCGTGGCCTGATACAGCATCAACTTGAAACAAGTGGCCGACAAATAACCTTCGCTTAGGTGGAGCGACCTTGTAGCAGAGAAAGTTGCTTCCGCTCTAATAGACATGGACGCACCACTTCCGCGAATCCGTGGTGTATCCCCGCTTCGCTCGGACATCTGGCGGGCTCATTTAAAAATTGTCATCGTCGTCGTTGAGGACTCGCGCGGGACAAGAGGCAAAAAAGGGTTAGAAGGCGAGAAACCTCAGCGCAGCTCAAGACCGGCGGATGGTATATATGCTTCTTGTTCGCGGTAGAAGGCGATTAGGAGAAGTGGTCATTCTGCTGAAAAATTCATGGCGTGGAAAAACAGGCTAAGTAACATGATGATCGAGCACTAATGCAATAGGCGGGGACCGCCGATGCGGCCGAAGTCATGAAGTGTGGTCACGAATTATCCAAGTAAGCAATTCGCTTTGTGATCTCAACTTTTTGCCGAACTATCGCACATGACAGGGCAAAGAGAAAAAAACGAGATCTGTACATATGAGGAAACACAGCAAGGAACAAACTTGTATGGGAAGCAGGCCGGTTCCGCGAAACTCGACCGATCCATCCGTGCATATATATATATATATATATATGTGTGTGTTGTAGTGCGATATTTGAGATAAATGTAGAAAAGGTTATGTCCTGCCTTCTGCACCTTCATTAGTAGCCTATAAAGGTGTAACTGCTTTGTTTTAATTGTCGTTTACAATGGTTGTAGCACGTATATACTGACGAATCGGATCGTGAGGCCAAAAGCCCTTTGACTATGCTACCATTTTATCGCTGGAATCGTAGGTATGGTCACGAGCTAATTTAAAACTTAACTGGAACAATTAAATCTACTTTTACAAGGAGGCCTTTTTTTTTTCCTTTTTTTTTTTATTTCTTTTTTTTCTTCCTTTTTCCCTTTTTTATTTCCTGTGTTTTTTTACATTCTAAATTGCCTTTGCCAAATAGATTTCTAGGAGTTCTTAGTCAATCCAAATTCGCCTATTAAATTTTTTTTAGTTGTTGTAAGAGAATCCGCCGATATTTAATAAATTGGTAAAATTTGGCTGGTAGTCTAGGAACTTGTGAGTGAAAACCGGCTGAATTTACTCCCGAAGAAGTTTTGAAGAAAAGATCAACGCTTGGGTTCAAACTGTTGGTGCTCGAAGGCCACAGCACTATAGAAATTTGTTGAAGATTGATGAAGAGATGTTAAATGAAAGCACAGTACTTCACTAGTGCACACGTTTGAAGAATCGAGGGTGGAGTGTTGACCAGCAAAAACGGTATTAGATGGCGGAGCTCGATTGAAAAGACTTTTCACGAAAACACACAACTGGCATTTTACATGCAACTTATGACAAAACCCGAATTAACCAAACCGAACCGAACCCCGAAGGAAAACAGGAATGCTGTTAAGTTCGAAAACTGAATAAAAATGAATCCCCGTATATTGACCCCGGCGTAGTTGAAGGTGCGTGTGGTGTATTCCATATGCAAGTTGCGAAACCTGAGTCAACAAAAAAACCCGTCTGGGGCGTACGATCGCTATAGACGAGACATGGTTCAGTCTCTACCACCAGGACCATCGAAGCAATACCGGACGAAACAATAGCACCACCCTATAGAGAAATTAAATTCGGGGTTTGTATAGAGTAGCTCTGGACGTAAAGCGATATTGTACTTGCAATGGACATTAGAGGCGTCTGCTTCTGTGAGTGTCTGCGGAAAAAAAGTTATGAATGCAGCCCCTATCTCATGTTTTTCAAGAGATTCCTAGATAGCTTGCACGGTAATTGTTAAGACCCAGCCTGGTTACCTGGTGACAGGAACAAATCTCATGGTCGTGCTTATATTGCTTCTCGGATCGAGTAAATATCCAAAGTCCGCTTCAACCCACTCGAGTTCAACCCTAGAAAGAGTAACTAATAAGCACGCATATATAACTACGAATTTACTTCGAGGTGACGTAAATAGAAAAATTATGTGTGATAATGGTAGACATCTGGCTAATTGAAGACTGCCAGAGCGCCGGGACATGCGTGTAAAAATTTGAATATCCGTGACGCATTTAAAAAAATTACCATTTTAGTTTTACTAATCTTAAAATTCTTCAGCTTTGCAGTCCGCCGGATTCGTTTTTAACGGTCTAATGGTAATAAAGAAAAGTTTGAAGAAGCAGTGTGCCCGCCATGCGGTCGCCAAACATAAGTCAAGTACTTGACGAAGGAATCGCCCTTAGAGCAAGACTAAGCATATTTCCTTGATGCAATTTATGTTATTATTATATCGTTATTTTTTTTGGAAGTGATTTATGGATTTAGTAGATTATCGTCCGGCGTGACATACGTATGTTTATTTTCTGTGCAATTTTGTGCAACCAAACTTTCGAACGCTTAGTCGGAACAACAATTTTGCCAATCAATTGTATTAATTTTGATTTTGTCCGATTATTTTACTCTGTTGGAAAGTCATCCGTTAACCGATATCCGCGCTAGTTACCAACGTACGATTCCATCCTCGTAAATGAGCCTCTCTGGGGACAAAAAAAGTCAGCTTTACTAACAATTCTAGAAACTGACACTTTTTACATCTGTTAGATAATTTCTAAGATTCTGCCCTACGTTCGCCCGCCTGCGTTTCATCCTGCCTATGTGTTTCTTCTATTAGTAATAATGTTCTAATGATACCAAGACGATAGAATTCAGGCTTATTTAAGCCTGAATGATCCCGAGTCCGATGTTTATTCGAATATTGGACTTGGGAATCGTTTCAAGGATCAAACACCCCCTCAAGAATAGAGCGTCTCAAGTATATCAAATTCCCATAAAAATGACATGAATCCTATTATCAAACGGACAGTTGCAAACATCCTAAACAGGTGTCTCATTTGGTGTACAAGAGCCTTTTGCACATCTGTGTACATACATTTTCCTGCGAACGGAAAAAATGCGTACCTCTTCCCATTAGCCACCAGACTTTTCGTTTACAGAAGTAACTCCAAAATGGGGACGAAGACGTTTGAAAATAATAGGTCCCTGTAGAGGTTTCCTGATCTGGCATTATATTTAGCAGAGCTCCTCCTCCGTTCCAGGGTTATGACTAGTGAAGTTGCTATCATGGGCCATAACCGCACCTGTATAGTACACCGTATGACGCTTCGCTGTTGCTGTTGGTCGTTGTGCTAATGCGAACGGCGTCGATTGAGGTGGCGGTAAAAGCGTGGCGGATCGAGCCTGCAGTGGAAGTGTAGTTAAAGGCACATAGGGAACCACTGCAGTACATGTGGTCTCTGCAGGTGCTCCGGACGGATTGACTGCTGTGAATGGCTGAACAGGTCGAGGTAACGGTGGCAGAGTGGGAAAACCCGAGATATTAATAGGCGAAATGCTTGAAGCGCGAAGCGCCTCAAAATTAGGCACCATAAACTTGTTCTTTTGCGCCCTTCTGCGAAGATACATAAGGGCTCGCCTTCGCTGTTTCAGCTCGAGCGCCGCCCTATCCATCCGTTTAATAAGCGAGCCCGTATATTCGATAAGGACATCAATATCGAATCGACTTGTTACCAAATTGTCGTTAGGCTTCCAATGCTCAATTGCTCTTATGTAGAATAGGCGTTCTGCACAGTATGTGCGGTAGCCGCTGCAGTTCCTTCGGTGCACTGGTCGATCGCGCACAAAGTACTAATTTGAAAAGAATGCTTTTGTAGAGATTACGGCATTATTCATTTTATATCAATAGAGATCGTGTTTAGTCAGCTTGTGTCGAACACACAATATGTGTGTACGTGAGATAAAATAGCATGGCTAACACGTGTTCAAAAAGGAAGTTATGTGTTGTAAGTTCTCTTTTCACTAAACGTTCCCTGCGATAATGGAGGCAATGTCGACAGTAATACGTTTGACAACTGAACTATGTGAGTATTACGAATTCTTGGGCATACTCATAGACGTAGTGACTTTACCTTATTTTCGCAGAACATACAGGTTTCCTGCGAATTGCCACACATGACCGTGTGCACCTTCATCAATTCGGGTATGAATAGTCGTGTGCATGCTGGACAAGCTAATGGAGGGCATATACATTCACTGTAAACGAGTGGAAGAGAAATAAAAGATTAGTTTGCCACCTTTTCATGGGTGCATAGTATTTTTAATACGTCATTGATATTTCGATTCGAAAGCGCAAAGTTAACACAAGTGATCTTATCGCTTTGAGAAATTTTGCTTTAGGTTTTGAAGGTTAGCATCCGACACGTGTCAGTCTTTTTTTGCCCATGTTTTGCGACTATGTAGTAACATCTAAATAACACTTGGTCTGGGCCTAATTGTAGAAAGGACGCGAAGTAGATTAGTGCGAAATGCTCTTTCATTCTAATTCTAACGACTGCAGTTATTACTAAAAGCAACTCGTAGGGGTTAGAACCCGATTATCCTTTTTAATAAATAAAGATAGAGCCAACGAGGATGTCGAAAGCTTATTGTCCAAGAAATACCGCACAATTTTCAGAAGATCTGTGTAGTATCGTAATAGAGAGCAGTGTTTTTTTTTAGGGAACTGAAGCCGATGCGTGCGGAGTTATAAGTGTGATAGACATTATCCTGTTGTAGTACCTTTACGGGGAACATATGCAGTGGGCAAGTACTGCATACTTTCTTAGGACATTATAATATAGATAGACAGAGCTAATTAAAATTGCTTTCGTTAACTGTCGTCGCTCGTTGACATTCGTGAAAAAGCGAACTGCAAATGAAGCCCTGTACTGCTAGACATTTTTATGAACCATAAACGATGTAAGCTTCATATGCTTCTATAGTCACTGAGTGTCGTCAAACAAAAAAATGTTTAGTCTTGAAGAAGAAATACATGTGGGATGGGTACAGCCGACACGCAAATGTTTGTCCTACAACGTACAAGGAAAGCTTGGGCGTTATCAAAGTCGAGATTCAGTTGTATAAACGAGATGACGATCGATAGAAATCCTCGACCTGCTGGGTTCCTCTTGACTGCGCGAAGATCAACCGCACATACTCCGTATGTGGTACACAAAAACCCTCATATGATCTTATCATTAACAAATCATTTATTTTTTTTGACTCAGGCTCCGCTGAAAATACTAGTCATGTCGCCTACATACGGCGAAACGCCGCTCACATATACAGGTATGATAAAGGCACGTTCTATCATGGCGTTCCTCATACCTGATTTCTTTTTGACAGTTCTCACACTCAATTTTGTCAGTCCCATCCATTTTGGCATCACGTCGTTGTTTTTCAGTTCATAACAGATTCACACGCTCGAAAATGATCTCGTTATTTCCGTTCAGTAAACGGTAGCTCAATTCCATTTATCCAAATGAAAAAATGAAAATGCGCACTTGGCTTATTCCGAGCCTCTTGCTTCACGACTTACGCATTATAAAGGCCTCTGGACACTATTACCGCTATAGAGGTTGTTAACTGCGCGTTGTAGGCTCTGCAGTGGCGCCACATTTGCATCTATGCGTACGTTGGGCGTTGTAGCTATGTCGTCGGCGTTCCTCTTCTGCGGAAAATACTTCCCTCTTCTTCGGCGGTGTTCCACCGATCTGGTAGCATACTTAGGTAGTGGCAATCATTTTGTGTTAGTCGTTCACCACATTAACTTATAAATACCATAATTTTTTCAAGTTAAGTGCCCAAACACAAGGTCGATTTCTTTTATCTTGTATTTCATCTTAGCAGTCGTTTACGGTGTGACAAAGGGATCCCCCCAGACAAACTTTATTCGTTCTGTTATTCAGGATAACATATCGTTTCAATACATACATGCGTGTGTATATATCGTTTTGGAATCTATGTAGAACTGAAGCGTGCCTCGCTCGGCTGTGGCTCTGTGTACTGTGTTAGGCTATTACAGGCGAGCCCGGCAAATTTTGAAATTATGATTTTCAGCCTCCTAGCAAATGGAATCTAACTGTTCTTCTAGCAACCAGTGAATGAAAACCGGTTGAGTTTGCTGAAGGAAAAATCTTATAGCGTCGAAAATCGATGCTCAATAGTCAAGCTCTTGTTCCTCCAAAGCCACAGCGCCGCGGGAATCAATCGAAGATAGGCGAAGACATTAGGCAAGGAGGCCTTAAGCGAAAGCACAGCACGTGAATAGTGCAAACGCTTCAAGAACCGAGAGTGGACTGTTGAAAACCAACGAGAAAGTGAGCAAATATCGGAGGACACATTGCCACAATCGTCAGGGAAGCTTTTGGCGATAGCAGACCTACAGTCTAAGGGCTTCGTCGGCGAAGACTAGTGTTTCATAAGTCATGTGTTCCAGCTGCCTGGAATATGCGGTCGCTATATGTGAGGCATAGTTCAATTTCTATTGTCAGCCAGAGGGGGACCAGGTGAAGGAATGGGGGCGCCCTGGAGAGAAATACAATTGGGCGCCAATGTCAAGTGGGTTTGTAGGTAAAATGATGGTAGTACTTTCAATGCACATTAGGGCCATCTGCTACTTGACAAAAATGCAACAATCAATGCAGCCGGCTGTCTCGAGTTTCTTAGGATACTGATCTAAATCGGTGTGACTATGGGGCTTTTTCTGTGGAGGAAAAAAGGGCAACTACTTAGCGTACTTACTCCACTTCTCGATTTACTTAGAAAAGCTATATATATATATATATATATATATATATATGTATGCAAGTGGGAAGTATAATGATAGTATGAGCTAGGTAAGTATATAGTATAGAAAAGTACATAGGAAAGAACACGCTTAAAGTCGTCATTTCTAGTTATTTGCCTGTTACTCCAGCGTAATTTCAGGGCTAGTTCACCACCCATCATGGCGACAGTGGTGTACCTCGTGCCCTACAAGTATAAAAAACAACACCGTCAGAGAATCGTGTAATTTGCAAGTGAAGACTTAATTCCACGATATAATACGTTAGCTATGAACCACAGCAGAATTAGAGTTTCTGGCTAATTTATGGATGTGTTGTGTGTTACGTTGTAAATTATTTATATTATTGCAGATAGATAAGAATTTCCAGTAATATGAGTTTGCTGAAAAACTCATATTACTGGAATTATAAAAATGCTTGATAGACTGCTTCAGAAGCAGTGAACTCTAAAAGAACGCTCAGAATCTTCATAACACACTTAATGCTACTACTCAGTTGCGCTGAGGACGCTGATTTGGAAATCTATCCTTATCGTCACTATGAGACTTGATTGTGTTTTATATCTTTCATATACACATCGATCTGTTGTGGCCTTATGCTATGGTTTACAGATAGTATGTTTTTATTTTATCCAAGTTAGCCACACATACAGCGGCTGTACTCAATATAAGAAAATTTCAAGTTGCCTTTAGTACACTAGACAGATTTACAAATAGCTTTTACTTCGTTCGTCATTATTTCTTTTAAATTAAGTTACTCTATTATAAGTTAACTTGGCGATTTGTTCTTCAGATATTTTATAGTTAAAAAAAAATCCTATCCTATTCTGCTAGTTTTAAGTACAATACTGCGAGACCGTAAACAGCTATTTTCGGCTTTGGTACAAGCTGCGCTAGATATTGCAGGAGTGACTATATTGAATATTTTGCATTCATCGCGACAAAGTAACTTATTGTTAACTGTATAGATGCTAGCTAATAACTTATTCGTTTGTTATCATTACAACAATGTTTTGTTTCATGGAGCAGACATAGTGCGCGTAACTGGCCTATAAGCATGATCACGGAAGTTCCATGCAACCATATTGGGTAGAGACACCGACCGTCCCCCATATACGGCTTCCATACGAATGTACGTCGAACTGCATACACTACAGCTAGCTGAAGGTACTCCTGGTGATGTTTTGTTGACGTGGCCACGCGTCTGTCGACGTGCTATCGATGTGAGCAGACGACACCAGTGTCTGCGTAAGGAACAGCATGCCATAGTGGCTAGAATAGTAACCGTGACAATGGTAAGAACAAAGTAGCCCCGATGTGTGACCAGGCCGAGGAAGGTTCCCATCACGCTGACCGCACCTCCGAAACCGATGCATAGTAGATTGCTAATCGTTCGACTGGGAGAGCCTCGCGACGAGACCGTGCGCCGACCTCCACCTACAGCAAACATGTTTTTTTTTCTTTTAGTGTGCAGATGGCAAGCGGTATCACGGACTTAGCTTCGCTTTTATTTTATGACCAAGCTGCTGTTGCTACATAATGTAGTGGGCTGACATCATCGAACATAAGAATAATGACGTAGGGAATCTTGGAGCAATCGTAATCGTGCAATAGTTTATCTGTGGTAGACTCTCGTCTAGCTTGCTTTGCTGTTGGATATAACAGCATGCTTTAACCAGTACTAAAGTTGCCATGAATCTCCGTTTAGATGAATGTTTTTTGGTCTAATATTGGGGGTTTGATGTCGCTGGCGAGATGGCGATCGGTGATCCTAATAACATCAGTTATTGGACTGCTATACCGCCTCTTGATGTTCCAGCTGAAACAAAGTTTAAATCGGAACTTTTTATGTTATTGCATTTATGCGAACCGACGCGTGACCTACAACAACACCAAAAAACCTGTCATAGTTGGACCTCAGGAATTAATGACTGCGTAAGGCGTAAGGCAATGACTTAATTGCCTCCAAAGATAGACTGGCTAAGACGCTTATCCTTTTACCGAAAGATATCTGTCTCTACTTTCACACAAACGTACCGATGTTTTTAGTGCTTAAAGTGCGGTGACGTTAAACAGCTTGATCTATAGTACTCTCAGCAAACCGTGAGGGTCCTTGAAATTCACAAACAACCTGACAAATAAACACAGAAAACGGTTTTAGATTCCGGTTAAACGCCGTAATTTTTAGGAAGGAATTCTATTTAGAGAGTATCGCCTGGTGACCCTGCTGACGCGGTTGATCCATACGTAACTACTGTAAAAACTTTCCGTACCATACTCGATAAGGAGCTATATAAATAGTTTTTGTTGGTACTTAAAATCTCTTAATGCCAACATCAGGAGGTTGATCCTTGATAGTAGGCCGAAGAATCTTCCAACATATTTAATTATGACATATCTAGGATGTTTCATTGAACGTTGAGATGATAGAATAGCTAATACAAGCTTTTAGTTATGAACTGGATTCCGTTAGCGTTCGAATGCACGAGTATATATACTTTGGTACCAGACAGAGAAAAGCACGTCAACGACGGTTTTTATGCAAGTGAATAAAAGCTACTTAGGAATAAGTACACCACAAAATGCCTAGTATTGTTTATCAAGTAATTATTATACGGCCTTATAGTTGGCTGTCTATTGGCAAAATTCACGTGTTTTACTGAAAGAGTTAGTCGAGCATTTTGAGCCTGTCTTGGTGCCGTTAGTAAGGCGCACGAAAATCACAATTCATTGTCACCTTTGCATATTAAAATTACTTAAGGCCCTACCTTCAATAAAGAACACTCCATTGCAAAACCATGCATGAGATTTTCTTACCTGTATATCATAGGAAGGTGCATTGTTTTAGTTTGTCTTTGTTTATATAACGCTCGCACAATCGGTGCACGTGTATAAACTCGATATATGAGAAAAGCAACTTTTGTCTACCGGTTCAAAAATATATTGACGTAAAGTTATCGCAATAGAAGAGGCGCGTAAATGATTTGACAGGATCCACGATAATAAATTAGTAATTTCCTCAGCTAACTATAGTGATCCAGCCAGTGAGCTAAAAAACAGGATCAACTTGGCTGCCTCCGCTGATCAATGCCAGTATCCACGTTGCAACAATTCATTGACCGATGAAGCTGCCAGTGACATCAACAATTCTTGGTTCACGCCGCTTAATCACGGTACATAGATCCGATATGGACGATCGGACAAGAACGATTAGAATGAGCATCTTCGTTTGCGTTAGCCTATTTAGGCAATACGATCTTTGCTTCCCTATGGTCAGCTGCCTTCTGTTGGCAGAGATGCACATATCAGTTGGGGTCAATACAACAAGAATGATTAGGCCAGTCATTCTTCGATCGTTTTATTATAGCGAGTTAACTCTTTGCACCGCCAGCAAAGAGGTCCAGCAGCTGATAAGCAGCATCGCAAGCAAATCGACTAACGGAAAACCTTTGGTCCGAGCGCGTAGGCTCGTTTATATTGTACTAATACATCAAGCTAAAAATCGGTGAGGCAGCTTGAATCCTTGAAAAGGATTATTCATTCGTAGTTAATCATTTAGTATCCTTTTATTGAATTTTATAGTTAGAAATATGAGCGATAACACATGAACCTCATTTGCGTTTCCAAAAAGCACCGTTTCGAGCAGTCACTGTGTTTACTTCGCTTGCTATCCACTGAATGATCAAATCAGTAATGGATTTGTTTTTTCCTCTCCGACATAGTAAGAAAATCACTTAAGCTTGCGCACCCGTTCGCGCCGGGCCACAGAAGCTATTTCAAACAGCCTATTTTCACCGAGGCCAATAGCTGCGGTCCTGCGAGACTCCTTTAGCAAACCAGCATACTCACGTCCCAGCTTCCAGAAAACAGACGTTGAGAACAGCACCCACTACGAGG